TGCAGCATCAATATCAGATTCCTCTGTTACGTCTTCTAGTTCTTTTTGTTCTTCCTCGGTTGTCGTCGTTCGATTCAATAACCAGTTGATGGCATCGGCTAAACTAGATCTCCTTCTTTCTGTTCCTGGTTCTTGCAAGGCATCTGAAGTGGTCTCAGCTTGTACACTTTCCTGTACTTGTGCTACAAGATCTTTAACCGGTTCTGTTGTGGTCTCAGATGAATCTATTTTCTCAATACTTATATTCTCTATATCATCTAGAAATTTGACACTTGGTTTTGTGACTGCATCAGTCAAGGACGGCCTGTCATCAGATATATCTTTCAAGATTCCTCGACTGGAAGTCTTGTCCATACCATCGTCAACCTGGTTCTCAGTCAGGGACGGGTACTCGTGCGGTGGTTCTATTACAGACGTTGATCTTGATTGGATACCTTCACTGCTTTCTACTTCAGCACTGATCGTTTCTGATACCTCAGTTGGTGGAATATCGTTAGTTGAGCTAATTTCAGATATGTTTTCTGGTGATTTAATTTCTACTGCGCTTTTCTTTGGTCTCCAGAGCTTCTTCAGTGCTTCACCCACGCTAGACCTTCGTCTCTTCTTTTTCTTACTCATCGTATCACTTGTTTGAAGGTCTATTTTACTCGCTTTCACATCTTCAGCAGTTTCCGCCTCGCCGCCATCATAATGCTCGATGATGATCCCGGCATTCTCGTCAGATTGTTCTTCTATCTTTGATGTCTGGGGTGGTTCGTAGCTAACTAGCGCTGTGGTGTCGGCTTGCTGGTGTTGTTCCGTAAGTGTGAATCCACTGTCACTCTTGCGGCTTGCTCTTTTAACCAGCTCTACACTGTCTTTTGCTTCGAGAAGCTTGGACGATGACTGCGAGCACGAAGCAACCAGTTCTTTCTTAAAGTCCGTGGGTTTCTTTTCAATTGCATCCTAATATTATGTTAAAGACGTTTGAGTTTATTATATATATATATATATATATATACACACTTGATTTCAGAAAGGTTGTGACTATGACTATTGAAAATGACTGCACATTCACAAAAGGGTAATGCACGTGTTAATGTTAATAAAACTGATCCTAATGTTGGACTAAAAATAGCCGTCAAGAAGCGGGAGTAGGGGCATAGCTGCCTTTGTCAGGGAATAGCTGCCTTTGTTTGGGAATGACTGTCTTTGTCACATCAGTTATTGCAACTTCAATAGTCTATGTTCATAACGATTAATTATTGCTATTGCAGACGATTTTGTAACCCAATTTATTTTATCAAGGGATAATAATATACAGATATCAAAATCGGTAATGCATGCGTAACTGCAGAACCGTGTTTTCCTTTAATCTGGGGTCAAACTACAGCATTCACAAACTGATAAAACTCGTGACCAAATTGAACGAATTAGTTATTGATATCGACTCTTCCAATAACAAATGAGCCATTTCTGACTAAATAGATCGTGTGTCAATGAATTTTTAAACTTTGCTAGCGGAAAGCGCCGAAATCGACATTGTTTTTCATGCGCGCAGCTTCATTAGTGCTAACATGGATTGTCTTTATCAGGCTACCATTTGTAGCAATCAGTTGCAGCTTTTAAAAGTAGTGATATAAATCATGATAACTTGAAGAATAACAGCGCGCGCGCATTTGAAATACTCCCCGGCCCGCTGACGACTCTTCAACTTGCACTTTATTGTAAAAAAGAACAACAAACAAACTCACCCTTAAAGCTTTCGTTGGTGTTTCTTCGCTTCTTGAATAAAGCTTGTAGATAAAAACGATGACAATCAGAGTCCCCACGAGGACCACAAAACCAATCAAGTACCCATGAGTCACAAATATGCTCGTCCCATTGCACAGATGCGCAGGTGTTTGCACAGCTGTCGGAGGACGTCCCGGCTTTGGGTGCGAACCCTTTGCCATGTGTTTACTTTTACATGTCCAAAGACATCGAGTTGCGTTGACGAGATCACATGTCAAAGCGCTTTGATCTTGAACACGCTTACTTGGATTATTTGTGACGTCACATTTCTCGAACATTCGTTCGCATTATTCTTATTAGCAACTAATGAGGATGACGTCACAATGGATAGCTCAATTACAAACTTAGATATTTCTGTACTAAACTGCAAATGGATTTTCGGTTAACTTTATTTATTCGGTTACTTCATTAATTCAAGCTACAATCTGGTTGTATAGCATTAGCGATAAATTCAAAATTCCAAACGCAATATTTTCATTTGGGTTAAAGATCGAATATTGAAACATGATGCACGGGAGCCCTGTGGTGACCGCACTTTGTTCTGTATATGACTATTTCCATAAACGTTGTCATCGCCGAAGGTGAAAGGCAATAGGCGATAAGCGTTAGGAGATAGTTCATTCCAAGATCCCAAGAATAGCTGGAATGACTTGTGATTCTGCTTCTTCTATTCTCGCCAAGAACATGGACCTTAGTGTTNTAGCTGGAATGACTTGTGATTCTGCTTCTTCTATTCTCGCCAAGAACATGGACCTTAGTGTTCAGCCCGGGGGGGGAGGGGGGGTACTACCACCCCAACTTGGGGTGTGCCGCCAGAACCTCAAAACCCTAACCCTATCCCAGACCTAAAATTTTGATTTTACATACCCTACCCCAGACTAAAACTAAGAATTGTACACCCTATCCCAGACTAAAAGACGGGAAAACGAGTTTTCAATAGATTGCAATCAATATTTACTAACATTTTTATTGTTTTTGTGTCAGCAGAAAACGTAGCCTATTCGCCAGACAAAAACGACCAAATCGTTAATTCTATCCCAGACTAAAATGATACCCTATCCCAGACAAAATGTCAAAAAATGATACCCTACCCCAGACCCAAAAGCCGAAAAACCATACCCTATAGGGCGGCACATACCTATATAGCAAATATAAGGGAGTACCCCCCCACCCCCCGGGGTGTCCAGACTGATTTAATGCCTTCACTCTAATTGCATGGCGACTTGAACTATAAATAGTAGTTAGCCACCCAACGCATTTTCCCATTCAAATCCTTATAAACTAATTCTTTTTATATCCAATGCCATTTCTTCTCGATCTATTCCAGGGAAAGGGTTAGACGCAACGATTCCTCTTTTCATTCTATATTTCCCCATTTATTTATAACCTGCCGGTTCTCTATTCCCCTTTGACCCCATCTTACATTATCATTGGAACCCTTTGATAGATTACTAGGAAATAGTTGAGTAAAATTTGTATATAATGAAGTAAGATGATGTTAAACACATACAACAAAAGAAGAAGCAGCGTGTCTTTATTCGTAAGCCCGCAAAAACTTCAGAATAATGGTGAGAACTGTTTAATTAACAGTATAAATCAATGTCCCGTTAGAGATGAAAATTTTACCCTCACAGGATTCCATTCTTCGGACATGACTTCCTCTAGAGCTAGTTGTGATGTTAGATCTTGTTCGTCGTGTTCTTCTTGGGCATTTTCGACTGCTGAAGTTTCTCGATCGCTGTTTTGTATCTGATCATTAGCACAATTTTCCTCGCCTTTTTTACTGGCTTCGCTGGTCTGGTCTTCACTGGGACCTTCATTTGACTTCAAAGTGGATGCCTCGCATGGAGTTACCTCAATTGAACTACCGCCTATCATGACTTTGTTAATATCAGATGTAGAATCGGCATCTTCAGGAGAATTTTGCGATGTTTTGCGTTCCATAACACTGCCACTAACTCGAACGTAGTCTGGGTAATCACCAACTGCATGTTCTTCATCAAGATTGTCCTTTGCCATCGGGATGACATCTTCTCTACTTTCATCTGGACTTATTTGTGTTACTGTCCCTTCAGTTAAAGTAACTGTGGCCTCACTTTCCCCATAACCTTCGTCAGGATTGTTCCTTTCCATCGGGACGACATCTTCTTTACTTTCATCAGAACTCATTTCTGTCACTGCAACTTCATCAGTTGAAGTCACTACAGCCTCAC